AATCTAATCTTGGAAATATCACAATGATTTTAAGAGAATTGTTGAGATTCCAAACCCACTTTAAAACTCATTTTATCTTGGAAAGGGTTTTCAAAAAGCAAAAATACAAAAACATTTAGATGTTTTCTGAGACCACCTAAAGTCGTGGAAAGAAAAAATGTCAATGAACTGTTATTGTTCTCCAGTGAAATAGTCGTCTTCCAGATAATCAACTACTTCTTTAAATTCACTGTGGAAACTTACATTTCATTCCTGTTTGGACATGTTCAAATATCCCCCCTGCAACAAATTCAGAAGAATTTCATATAGCATCCTCCCAACATCACTGCGTCTCATTTTTTTCATTTATATTAGTAAATTTTTGTATTATTCTGGGTAGCACTGGGATTGAGGTTGGTAATGTTTCCTTTCTCTCTTGGAGATACAAAGGAAAGGAAATTCTATATTGTTGTTGAAATGAGCGCTCTCGGTGGAAAGGAATTTCTCATTTTCCACGCGGTGTTACAGTACTTTTTAAACTCGGTAAAAAGTCCTTCGACTAAAGGATCCCAGGTACCCATTAGTGGAGCCCCATGCTGCCCCGCTTGTCATTCATTTTAGTTCCTCTATAAGGAATGGGGCGGTTTTTTGTGTTTCTAGTTTTTCCAAGTGTGCACCGCGCAGCGCATTCACAAGCCGCACAGGTCCGAGGAAGCCCACAAGTCAGGCGGCCCGATCTAGAAACTTTCGTTGCTATTATCTTCCTCTGGCTTGGAACTTAGGGTTTATGGGTTGAAACTCAGTTGAGCAGCGCCCAGGGAACTGCCCTAGAAAATTAAGCTAGGTGCACACACTGCTGTAACTTACTTTCCTTGTGAAAGGGAACTTGGCTTCCCCCGCGGACACCCAGCCAATGTCCCCACCCGTAGTCCCTCGCGAGGTTTAGGGTTTTAGGCAAAGGGCCAAGTCCAGAGGAGCCTCCTTGGACCTCTGAGAGGCAGATTACTCCTGAATCAGCTCCTTACGTGGAATCACAGCCCACTTTGGTCTCTGCCACACTCTTGTTCATCCCTGTCCCTCGGGTTCCCTGGGGATGCACTTGTCGGTGGCCCCAGAGCCCTCGGTCGGCTCTTGGGGAGCGCATTTGAGCCGAGCCCAGGAGAACAGGTTCCACTAGCCCCGAACTCGCCTCTAGAGCAGGCAGAGTCTGCGCCGGGTCACCACGAAAGGATGGCCCCAGGCAGGAGAGCGGCAGCGGGAGGCGGCAGCAATGCGAGTGTGTGGCCTCACGCAGCCCAGGCGGAGTGTCAGAGAATGGACATTCGGGCTTTAACAACTGAAATAAGGTTTCTTCAAAAAATCATTTAGAAAGAAGAACGCGGAGCATTTTTCTTCCCGAGACCCCAGACCCAATTAAACAAAGAAAATGTAGTTCGGTGCTGGCAGTGTCCCTGTTTTTCAGGCGCAAAAAAAGTTAGGGGATGGCCCACCTGGGGGAGAAATGCAGAAAGCTGGGGTAGGCGAGGCCCGGGACTGGAGAGTGCGACTCTGCCCAGGCACCCGAGTCACCTGGAGCACCTAGGGCCCCGGATGAGCCGACAGCGGTGACCAGGCGGAGGGCCTTCGGGAACACACAGGGCTCAGCAGAGTCTGGGCGGCCGGGACCCCGGCCCCGCGGTTCCCAGCCAGGTCAGCTGAGCCGCTTGCCTAGGGCCGCTGAGGCGAGACGCGGCCGCTTCCTGTCGTTCCTCCCTAAACCCAAGTTCTTACGAGGGCGACCCGAAGGCCGCCGCGAGGCAGAACCGCAGAGCTCCCGCCGTCGGGGCGCTCTGGGCGCCCTGCGCTGCGGCCCGGAGCCCCGGGCGTCGAGCAAGGGCCGCTGCTGCCCCCTGGCGTCCGCCCGGAGCCAGAGACCCGCCGCGCCTCGCGAAGGCCTCCCCGGCGCCCAGCGCAGCCCGCCGTCCTCTCCAGGCCTGGGGCTAGGGAAGCGGCCCGGGCGCCCGGGAAATACCTCGGCGCCCGACCCGGCCTCCTCCTCCGTCAGGCCCCAGCGGCAGCACCCAGCACCCTGGCCGCTTGTCCGCGAGGGGAGGGAGGTGACCCGCGGGGACGAGTGAGGGACCCCCGAGCGGGGGAGTTCACGTTGTTGAGGGACTCGGCCTTGTCATGGGGAGGGGTGAGGAGCTCCATGGCGCGGTTGAGAGGCCCTCGGAGGATGAAGGGTCCCCGAAGGAACTGGGGGTCGGGGAAGGAAGGGAGCAGCCTCGCCAGACGCGGGGCGGGGGGCGGGAGTGGGCAGCGCGCCGGACCAGGGGCGGGTCTTTTAAGCTCCGCGAAAATGCCCGCGGCGCCGCGGGGACGGGCCTAGGGGGAAGTTCCCTGCGGCGCGCAGAGCCGGGTGGGTTCAACACCCCGCCGCGGGGGCGCGGAGGAGCGGGGGCCGTTTCCGGGGAGCAGAGGGTGGTTCTGGGGCGGCCCCTGCTGCGAGCGGACAGCCGCTGGGCGCCGCGGCCGGCTTTCTCCCCGCCCTGGGGGAGCCAGCCCAGCGGAGACGTTCAACTTTCTTTCCAGCCTGGGCATCTTTGGGGTCTCTTACGACCCGACTCCTCTGCTGGCCGCTAGCACTCAGCCAGAGTGAGGCGCGCCAGGCAATGGAGCGAGCCGGACGCGGCCGAAAACACTAATAAAGGAAACCGCTGAAAACACAGCAGGCAGGTTGTGGAGCACCGTCTGGTCTTAATGAACGGATCAGCGTCTTTCGCTGTAGCTGACAACCAGGCCTTGGGGGTCCCGGGCCCTCAGGCCCCCTTGCGGCCGACTCCCACCCCTGCCCGGGAAGCGGAGCTTTGGCCGTGGGCGGCTTCCTAGAGCCTGGGACCGTCCCTGGAGCCTCGCGGCGGCAGCTGTGTTTCCCAGGCACGCCAGGCGCCTCCCCGTAGCTGGTGCCTAGGCCTCTCCTGGCGCAGCTCACGGGCTGGGTCCTTATTTCTCCTTCTGGGTCTCCGGACTGTGGCCGCCTGTGGCACCGCTGCGCGCTGCAAAACCCGGCGAACCGCACTGCAACCAAGCGCCTTGCTGCAGTGCTGGGGTCAGCACCCGGGAGGGACCCCCAGCGAGGGTGTGCGTGTGTACGCGTCGCCTCGCGTGGGTGCGGGGAGCGCGGGGGTGGCCTCGGCAGCCGCCACGAACTCCCCGCCGAGCCTGCGTACAGTAGCGCGCCGCGGCGGGGGCGCGCGGGCCAATTCGAGGAGCAGGCGGCAGTGAGCCGCGCCCTGGCTGATACCGGAAAGGCCTGTGATTGGCCGCCGGCCGCCCCTATGCAAACGAGCTGAGGGAATGGAATTCCTCGGGCCGGGCTTACAGTAAAAGCACGTTCATTTCCAGGCACTCTCATTCATAGAGCCAGCGGGCGCGGGCGGGACGGGCGCCCCGCGGCCGGACCCAGCCAGGGCACCACGCTGCCCGGCCCTGCGCCGGCAGGCATCTCTAACCCGGGCTCCTGGGGACGCCACAAGAAAGTCAACCTTTGCTGCTTTTCCTTGACCTGCGTTGGACCTTTTAAATTTTTCTTTTTCTTTTTCCCCTCCTTCTTTCTTACTTTTCAATGAACTGGCTTCTTGGCTGGATGTTTATACTTCTTTCCTGGCTGTGAACTTTTCCCCGATTGTTTCTTTTGACAACTGCGGGAGAAAGTGCGCTGCGGTTCCCGGCTAACCGTGAAGTTGCGTGTGCTTGGCAGTGTGCGTGGGAGTGTGTGCGCGCGTGTGTAACTCGAGCCGACTGCTCTGCTTCGATCTGCGCCGCAGAGCCTAGTCTCAAGGCCCGCTCCACCTGCTGCGGTTACGCGGTGCTCCTGGGTATTTGTGCGTCGGAGGAACTAACCCGCCGGCGCTGGGGCGACATTGGAGGAAGATCATCTCGCTACTGCCCAAGTCTGGGCTGACTCACCGAGCCGATGTAGACAGTGGCTGGCTTCTGAAGGGTGCGTGTCTGCATGTGTGTGATTCGGCTGCAGCTCAACTCCCACCAAACCACAGGATCAGCCACAAACTTAACCAACATCCCCAAACCCAAGTTCTCAGATCTGGAGAGCTGTACCCTGAGTATCATCGACTTGGACTTCTTCTTGTTCTTCTTCTTCTTCTTTTTTTTAAGTTTAGCTAGAATTTTTTGAAAAGCTGAATTTTCCGCACTGAGTATTTTGCCAGAATTTATTGAGAGAACATGACAAGTAATTCTAGCCCAGCCCTCTTCCAACTACTGAAGCTGATTTTCAAGGCTACTTAAAAAAAAAAAAAATCTGCAGCGGACTTTAATGGATTTCTGTTGTGTTTAAATTCTCTACAGATTGTACTGTAAATATTTTATGAAGTAGCATATGTATATATTTATATATAAGTTCACATACATTAGCACAACTTTTGGAAGTCACGGCTCTTGCTTTTGAGGACTGAAGCCAGTTTTTCATGATAAAGGGGGCACCCTGTATGGAAGACACTCCTGTATTTTGTGTTCTGTTGGGACTTTAGACAAAACTCACCTGCAAAAAAAAAAAAATACTGACAGGCGATTAACTACTGGAACTTTCAAACCATGTATTTGCTGGTCGTTTTGCTCTCCGCATAAATATTTTAGAGAGTGCGGGAATTTTGCCTCCGGAAACATTTTTAATAGCCAAAGATTGAACTTAAACTCTCAAAGCAAGACTCAGAAGAAGATAGGCTCCCTTTGCAATTTGACTTTGGATTCTGGTTGCCCACTTTTTAATGCACTAAGCGGTCGGTTGCTAGGAGTGCTGCCTGGGTCTGAGGCCGGTCGTAACTAGAACTTTCCCCATCCTGAACTGTTGGTAACTTCGTCTCCCCTCCTCCCTAGCCCTCCCGCAGTAATAAAGGCCCCTGAACTTGTATGTTGGTCTCTCGGGAGCTGCTTGCTGAAGATCCGCGCCCTTGTCGCCGTCCGGTAGGAGCTGTTTGCAGGGTCCTTACTCAATCGGCTTGTTGTGATGCGTATCCCCGTAGATGCCAGCACGAGCCGCCGCTTCACGCCGCCTTCCACCGCGCTGAGCCCGGGCAAGATGAGCGAGGCGCTGCCGCTGGGCGCCCCCGACGCCGGCGCCGCCCTGGCCGGCAAGCTGAGGAGCGGCGACCGCAGCATGGTGGAGGTGCTAGCCGACCACCCGGGCGAGCTGGTGCGCACCGACAGCCCCAACTTCCTCTGTTCTGTGCTGCCCACGCACTGGCGCTGCAACAAGACCCTGCCCATCGCTTTCAAGGTACTTAGCCTGGAGTGGGTGACGGGAGGACCGGTACAGGTCGGCTGATGCCCGGGGCGACCCGGGAGGCAGCGACCAGGCAGGCGGGGCCGGGTTCTAGAAAGCAGACGGCGCTACCCACCGCTGCCCCTGGTCCTTTTATCTGCGCTGGGGATGCGGGATGCTGCGTTGCCGTGGCGACCCTTGGAAGGGACCCGCCTCAACCCGCCAGAGCGGCATCCAGGGAGAGCTGAAAAATCAGGATGCCCTTAGGACATTCACTGAGGGCCGGCCAGGACCTCCCCAGCAAGGGCCTTACCTTTGATACAAAGTAGGAAAAGTTATAACCTAGCAAGGGACAAACCCTTATGCTTCCATGCGACTCTCCCCACCTCTGGCTTAACACTCAAAACATTTTGTCTGTCTCAGATGAAGGCATCAGGAAATAAAATAGAGGTACTTTTATACTTTCCGGTCGTAAAAACAAACCACCCAGGAAAACTGTCAGGGATTTCCCCCTCCTTTTAAAAACCGCCCTATAGGAATTAGCATGTACAAAGTCCACAGCAGGCACAGCTAAGTTTGCAAAAGTTTTCCCGAAGAGTTTTTTCGAGCTTCTAGTCTACTCCTGCCCAAAGCGGCAAGTAGCAAATCCTGTTTCTTTTCCTGGAACCCTCCAGACGTTATCATGGCTCACCTAGATTAAGCCCCAGGCAGCAAAAGGTGTCTTTTGAGAGCCGGAGGTCCAATCCGACAGTTTTTCTGTTAGTGGAGGGCACCGGGTAGACCAGGCAACTTCAGCAGAGCAGCTCAAAAGGTCTGGGTTCACTTTTCACCCCTGATCTTGCCCTAGCTTTGAGCTGCCTTTAAAAACCTTGGCCTTCAACTAGGATATATAAACAACCTCGGGCGTTTTTAAACAACCACCCTACTACCCTGGCAGCAAGCAGGAGGAATTTAATTTCTGCGGTGGGGATTCTGTATTTGGTGGGTTTTAAAAAGTGCAGCTTTTTAGTACAATCAGTGCGGTCATTTCCTGTTCATTTAAAGAGCTAAATAAGGCAGGTGATTCAACCAGTAAAGATTGGCTACTCTTAAAATATTATATGTATTTTTAAAATAATTGTTCCTTATAAGGGGAAGATTAATGTAATATAAGCTTTTTATAGGTCCAGATCTTAGACAGATTTTGATCTAATTACAATGAATAGTGTTCACTTAGAAAAAAAAGTTGGGGTTCTTCATTTTTAAAGTTTACACACTTTCCAAAGTTAGATTGTGATTTTTTTTAAAAAATGACACAATTTGCAGTTGCCTCCTTTTCTACTCCGTTTTTTGAAAGCTTTTTTTTTTTTTTTGTAGGTTGGGGAAAGGAATGAGAATAAGGGGAGAAGCCAGCGGACTCTTCCTTCCCTTCCTCTGATTATTTAGATTTGGGTTGGGGGGCATTTCAATTTCAAATCATTCTAATCCCCTTACATGTGCTGGCAGACCTCTTAGCTCACTCTCTGAGGGTGACAGGGCTGGGTCCTGGGGTCACTGTCAGGCAAGAGCAGAGAGAAGACAGGCTGATAATCAACTGAAGGGGCCATTTAAGGCTGGTGCCCTGACACACCAGTCCACGAAGGGATTTGTGGCTTCCCTTGGAAAGAAATCAGGGTCTCTTCTGAACTCTCTGTGCTGCCTCTGAGCCCACACCCCAATATAGCAAGACGCTGAATGCTTAATAAAAAGGAGTTAGGCCAATGCAAAAATCTTCAGCCACCACATGAAAGTCTTCTTCTAAAAGAAGGAAAAGTCATACAAGTTGCTTTTATGAGCCATCAGAGAATTCCTTCTAGCAGAAATTGCAATAACTATATATAAATTTCCTTTTAAAGATGACTTTAGACAATTCACTGTAAGAAAAAAAAATGTCTTAATTTTCTTTACTGTGCCTGTAGGCTACTGTAGGGTCAAGGTGTATAGCTCCTTCAAAAAGTCCCAGTGGGTCTCTCAAGAACATTTGGGAGAAAGAAAAGGATAGCAAAGAAAGACCACTTGATTAATATCTGTCACCACTTTTCATCCCGAAAAGAGAGGCTCCTTCTTCAAGGAGACTTGCTCACTACATAATTGAAAGAGTAGACAGAATTTTCAGTGCAGGAGTAAACCTAAAGAGTAAGAACAAAAGCAGGCGAAACTTCAACCCCGCCTGCATCCTGGCTTGATTGACTGTGGGTCCCGGCTGCACCCTGTACTTACCCACCCACCAAACACCTCCTAAGCTGTTTCTCAAAAAAGTATTCCTTTAAAATTTCATTTTAAGTGAACCTCAATCTCTTTAGAAAGCTAATCCTTAGAGAATTAATATTTTCCCTATGATATAGAAGAGAAAATGTGAAACAATTATAAAGTTGGATAATATCGATGAAAAGAGCATTTAAATGCCTCTTTAGGAGTCTTCTGAAATTCTATGTGTAAATCCTCTGCCTTAATCTTGAGAACTCATGAGAGATTTGAAATTATTAATTTTCTTTAAAATTGTCCTAATTATGTGTCCTGGCCTCCCAACCTGTTCTCCACCCCCTTCCTCCCATAGCAGACCTTTATTTTTGCACAGATGAGGTACATATTTTCACCACTGAGAAAATCTTAAATTTGCTACGTGTTGCCCGGTATTTACAGAAGCAGCCTACAGAGCTGTTTGGATGGCTTAGGATAGATTTTGCAATGCTATAATATTACAGTTTGTTTAGGCCCTGGTACACCAAAGTCCAAAAGACATAAACATGCCTTCAACAGGGAAGTTTGGAGACCTTGGATGCTGATGGTGATAGGCTTTCTGTAAAAAAGGAGAAAAGGAATGTTTCTGGCTCCAAGATCACCATCCCTAGCTATGCATTAAATGTCATCTCGGCTGAATTCTGTGTTCCACTCCATAGCCTTCTTTGAAACACTGGAAGATTAAGGGATTTGAAGTAAATGAATTGTAACTATAATTTCAACCTCATTAGAATTGGTTGAAAATGACAGTTTGAACTGAGTCGTAAAGAGCAGTGTTGGGAGGTCCATACAGTGCAGAGGAGAGTTGATATTTTGCCCAACTTCCTGATACTTTAAAAACAGAGAAGTAAAACAAAATATGAGATGTCTTTGGCCAGCAAGTCCCTTCTTGTCTGTTTGGTCTGTGTTAAAATGTCAATGTTTGTGTTCCCTTACCTATTGTTTATAGCTTTTCATTCCAGTTGCTTCTTTTTTTTTTTCTGTTTGAAATGAGATATTTCTTCATTCTCTTCACATTGCCTATCAGTGACAAAAAAACTGGATCAAATTAGCTGACATATTACTTTTACATTTTAAAATTTTTAAACTAGCCCGAGTATGCTTGTTCATTGGATGAGATACATTATTAATGACATTACCCTGGAAAACAACTCCCTTGGATTCCCACTACATTTTAGAAAATGGGAATGGTGAATGTTGCATTTCTATTATTTTTTTTTTTATTCTTGTACTCCAACATCACAACCTTTTCTTATCTAGCCACCATGATAATTTCATGTTGTATTGTTTCTACTTGGTGACCGCCTCCTGAGTGTGCCAGCTCACTAATTGAACAGATGAGAGGCACAGGTAGAGGCACCAGAGATTCAGAATGCATTTGGGTGGTTATAAAACAAGATTTATTCATCTTAATCTCTTTACAGATTTGGGCCCGACCATGAGTTATTCAGTTTGAAAGCCATGTCGTTGACCAATACCCTGTACACTTACTGCATGTTGAATCAAAATAGAAAAGCCTGGGTCACCACAGGGGGGGTGAGGATGAGGAAGTCAAAATCAGTGTGGAAGGAGAGCATTTCAACACTGTGAGCTAAGTTCACAGAGGGAAGTGAAAATAGGGGAAAAAAGAGGAAAAAAAAAATAAGAAACTAAAAAGAGCAGAATAAAGCAAGCATATTTTGTAGGAGTGGAAGAAAAGGTAAAAATAATTCATTGATCAAGGAGATTTATCTCAATAATGTCTTTTGAAACAAAAGAAAATTGTCGTATTAGGGTTCTTAATTAAATGGCAACAAACACACTTATAATGGGAACTAAATACCTAATTAGAGATTGCTTGGAGAATAAATACCAGTGTTTTAAAATCTCCTTGATGGAAAACATGTCTAACAATTGAAATGAAAGGATTAAAAACAGAGATGAGAGGCCCAGATCTTGTTTGACAGTGTAAATTGGGTGAAATAGATGAGGAAGATACTTACCTAGTGCCTTGGGAGTAGGTTATCCTGGTGAGGTCTTAGGATCCAAGGCTTTTTGCCTCTCAGAGTAACGGGCTCATTTTCTGCCACGCTCCTTAGAACCTAGGAAGTGGCCACTGTGAATAAAAACAGCACATGGTCATCTGAAGGACACAGTGAAGGGGCCATGACTAAGCTCACAATGAGGATGGGAATGCGGAGAAATGTGACTTTGGTGTCAGACAAAGGGAACTCTGGCAGCCTTATTCAGATACAGAGAGAGGACTTGAAATTCCCACCAAAAAAATGGTGTAACAACTATGAGGTAGAAATTGGGAGATGAAAAATAGGGGGAAGAATTTTAACAGTAGACTAAGGAATCCTTGATTGTTAGCAGTTGGAAAATCACCAGAAAACAATTATACCATTGGAATGAATAACACAAATGTCATTACTGATTGAGAAAGATTACTGATCTTCACCGAGAAGATCAGAAATGATAGGAACAAGTCCAACTTGGGGCATTTGGATTTGAAATTCTATGATCACATTGAAAAAAATTTTTGAAACAATAGAAATAAAGCCAATAATTAATGTCTAGACCAAGAAAACGGTTTCTAGAAATGGATACCATTGCATAAAACATCTTCAGGCCATGCTCTTCAGAGCAGTTTACCTTGAGTTACTCCTGTTTCATTCCCTGAGTATCAAAATACTTATCTATTGTTTTTTTTTTCAGTAGTCCTGATAATAAACCATATTTTTTTCATTACATTAAAGGAATTCCTGGTTAAGATGAGCTCAATTTGGATAAAACCTCAGTCACCTATCAGGACATAATTAACAATCTTTGGGACTCACAGATATAAAGATGCAAACCAGTTTCACTCTGGATTTGAGAATTGCCAAAGTGGGAGGGCCTTTTCTGTGAGGTCTGCCAGTTTTGTAACTAGTAATAATCAAAGGTTACCTTTCTGATTTCCCCACTCCCCTTGCCTGACAGGATTCACTGCTAGGGAAATTTTGATATAATCAAACCCAGTAGAGGGACCAAAGATGAAATGCAAAGGGACAGTTTACGTCACTCAAGAATCATTAGCAAAGGTTGAATTTAATTTTAGTAAAAAGTAAGTACTTGAAGTCCAGGCTCAGTTAGGCCCGTCAGTGGAGGTCTGAGCACATAGAAGATGAGTTAGGTTCTAAACTCACAAACATAAGACATTCTGTTTCTCAGATAGGTGGAATTAAGAGGATAATTGTATTCATGAGATGGCATAGCTTTTCAAAGTCCTTGCCATTGTTAGTCATTCCCACTGGGCAATATGACCTTACATACCTTCATGAGGTGAATTTAGTGGAGTTTCAGCAAGGAAAAAATTATACTTACTTATACATAATGCAATTAGAATAAATCTTCCCATTAATAACTGTTTCCTTGTGTTGCTTGAGTTATGATTATGTTCCTCTGCAAACTAGAAGGTATCATTTAACCCACATTTTATTTTAGAACAATTGCTTCACAGTTGATATATAAGTATATGTATGACATTCCTGATGTCTGTGTTTGTCCCTTGACTGGTGTCTAGGTGGTAGCTCTAGGGGATGTTCCAGATGGCACCCTGGTCACGGTAATGGCTGGCAATGATGAAAACTACTCGGCTGAGCTTAGAAATGCCACCGCGGCCATGAAGAACCAAGTGGCAAGATTCAATGACCTCAGGTTTGTCGGTCGGAGTGGAAGAGGTATGTATCTGTCAAAATTGAATTTGCAACACAAAATATTATGTGGTTACCAATTTAGATTTCAAAACTTCCAGCAGTTATTGTGATGGTCTTTATTATATTGTTATGTCGAAGTTTTTTGAAAATATTTATTTAAAATTTAATGTTTTAAACAGAATCTAAGTTTATGTTATTGCTTTCTGTTGCTAAATTGGTTTAAGACTGATATGGAACATGCAAAACAAATTGTGAATTTCAACAAAACCCCTCAAAGTTTTACTAAACTTTACTAAAATGTGAAAATATAAAATTTACCACAATGGAAACAGATTATATGGTGGGGGTTCTTTGGTAATCAAGTAATGTAAGCCTTGAATTTATGATTCATGTGCAATCTGTGACAATTGACAGGATTTCTAGTGACCACTTTGAATAGTTTCAAGGGATTCTTAGTGAAAGGACATGGAAGCATAGTTTGAGGCAGGCTTACCTCTTTAGGGTAAAATAGGAAGAAATCATGTCAGTATTACTGAGGGCAATATGCCCTTCCTGTTACATTTGTTTTGAATGCCTTGTAACAATTTGGGGAGAGGAATGGGCCCACTTAACATTTTAGGTACTGATGACATTAGAAACCAGAAAATCCAAAGAAATTGTTGCATTAGTTCAGCTATATGGGTAATTTTGCTTTTCTTTCTCTTTAACACTGTATGAAAGTATTAAAGCAGGAAGAGGAATCTTGGCTCATTGTAATCATCTCAAGTTTCCAATTATTTTCAAGTATTGTCTTTTTCTCTGCATTGTAAAAACCTAAGCCACATTTTATGCACGGGAACAAGCACCAAACGTTTAATTGAAAGAGGCAGGATAATTCGTTTTGAAAGTCTTATTTTTGTAATATACTACTGAATAATCTAGGAATAAAAGTTATTTCAAGTTTAATAAAAGAGACACGATAAATACCTAGTAACAATAATCCTTGTATTGTAAAAAAGAAAAAAATGAAAAGATCAACTACAGGAGTAGTCATTATTCTTTATAAAGGCACTCAAAAATATTAGAAAATCTGCATTCTTATAGAATTGTATTAGTGGAACAGGGGAAAGGGGCAGACATGTATTGGATTTTGGGACTGTTTGTTGTTGTTGTTGTTGTTGTTGTTTGTTTGTTTTTTGCTACCCTTGCTGTCTGGATCATTTTCATAAAATAATCATAGCTGGAGAAAATGGAAAACTTAGAACATGATTGAAAATGTATGCTCACAGTAGTAACTATGTTAATAATAGGGTAATGCAGAGAAAACCATATCCACTGATTGAAAGTACGAGTGATGCTGTAAGATATAAAAGCACACGTCATTAAATGGGTTCACTTGTTATATTAAAAGTCCCTGCCTTTCAGCAAATGGAATTTGCATTATGATTCAGAGATGTGTGTTTAGAAATCATCTTGAAGGCCCCGGATGAGTCGCTGGCAGAATGGGTGAGAAGCCAATAAAAGATAAAGGGCCCGCCTTGCCGGGTCCACCTGCCTGGCTAACAGTCTTAGTCCAGTTATTGTGGATGTCTCCTTTCAAAAAATTGATAGCCGAGTATAGTATCATTTGGTTGCTTTTCCAGAGAAAGGATTATTTTCATAATATGCGCCTGTGTGGGGCTGTGTGTCAGATTTTGATTCTAAAAGTTTTCAAAGCTACTTAATGACCCACGCCAGTGACATTTTCCCATAAGGAGTTCAATAGTGGCTTTCTGGCAACGTGCAGTAAATCGGCGATTGTAGAGAAGGAGGTTTTGAAAGCAGCGTGCTTATTTTTCTGGTAGTGGGGGCTGAGTTCTTATCCCTTGTTGGCCGTTTCTGTTTTGAGTGAGTGACTAATAGGTGCTTGCGTTGACTTGGGTAACAGTGAACTGTTTCCCTAAGGCGTGGATTGTTTGCGCTCGGCTGCCTGATTTGTGCCAGTGTGCCCTTGAGTTTGCATAAACCCCCCAGCGTGACATAGCTACAGCCGAGGCTGGGCTGTCTTCTCATACCCTGGAATGAAAAACTTAACTCAATGCCATAAATGGCAATATGTGTTTTGCACAGACTCTCCTTCCCATGAATGATAATAAGTAATCAAAAGTACCGGAACACTAATTGAACATTTGACCTGATTATGTCTAGCGTGTGTAATATTGGTCTTAAGTGATTTTGGGGGGACAAAGGGGTTATCAATGCATAAGACAAATGAGCTATCAAGAGGCCCAATTTGACTTGGTCTCACAATTTTACTCCATAGTTGTAAAGTGTAATTTGATTTTGTTTTTTCTAGTGTAAGTGTCAACATCAGAGCCTGCCAGGCTTTCTTCTTCTCCCACCCCCCATCCGCCTCCTCTTCTTTTTGCTTTTATTTATTTATTTTTTCTTTGCAATTTGCTTCTCATTAGGAGGAGAGCAGATGATTCTCACTAATTTTGACAATTAGTCTTAATCTTCCTTACTGAATCTTATCCTTTAAAAGTCTCTTTTTTTTTTAAATTAGGTGATCTTAAGACTATCTATTGTTTCATTTTCTGCTTTTGAAAATAAGCCCTTGGCCTTGATGCACCCCATGGTGGCCCAGAAGGTCCATTGCTCATCTACTCATTTCAGTACCAATTTTTAATTCTATCCAAAGCCACTCGTCTGATGGATTCCCAAAGGGGCCAGGTGCCTAGTGCAGGATGAAAGGTAGAAAAAGATGTTCCCTTTATTTTCCTAGTTGCCCGACTGTGGGGATCATAAACCTCAGAGAAATTGCCAGAGATTACCAATTTTTCTGTCGTACAAAACTGATCTGTCCGGGCGCTGGCTGGAGTCCAGAATCACAGCTCCTAACCTCGGGTTCAGCCTGTAACTGGGAAAACCTGCCTGTCCGGCTTCCACAGCCCTGCTAACTGCACTGGCCCCTAAAAATATGGGTGAAGGCCTCAGAAGCCCGAACCTTCTTCGTTTTCTTCCATTTCCTCCTTTTTCTCCCTGGCAGCTTAAATCTAATTCGGGCTATATCCCAGCCTTGGAAAGTTTCTCCCTTTGATTCAGTATCACCATGTGAATTGGTCACCTTTACAAGGAAGAAAAGATAAATAGCCAAGGAAGAAGAGATAGCTGATCCCAGAGGAGGGAGGTAGGGGGCTCTGGGAGTTAGAGATTAGGAGAGGATACAGTTGGTTGTTCAGAACAATGCACATTTTAACCACATGGCCTGGGACTATCAGTCATCTCCAGAAAATCCCAAGTTCAGGGTCAAAAGCGATTCTCTTTAGTGAGATTATTGAACACAGCAGTTTGCATAAGTTTTTACCTGCAGTTAATGCAGATGCTCCCGATATGTTCAGAGTTATAAGTGTGTCACGGCTTCAGGTGGAGACATCTAAGAAATTTTAGCAATGACGTCTGTGAGTGCTTTGTCCCTGTTGACGTATTTAATCAGCTAGAGAGAAATCGATCCATCCGTGAATACAGCTCTAGTTATTTCATTTCAGAACCAAACAAATCTACCAAACCATATCATCAGCCACATCATAAACAGGGAAAGAGAATCCCTTGCAGATTTCCTTCTCTTTTTTCTCAGAATACATTTTTAAAAATGTCATACGTAATGTCGAAAATCCTTTGGAAGACTTTTCCCCAAGAAGAAAAATATGCCCTTGTGTACGAAATTTCCTGTACAGTTTTAAGTTTCCAGAGCTTCTGGAGTTTGTTTGTAAAACTTCTGGGGATCCATGGGTGCCAGGCCAGGAATCTGTGAATTTAGAACTTCACATTGACCACAGTGCGTCAGTCTAGCACAAGGTCTCATCAAGTAGATATCTGGAAAATGAAAAAATACGCGAGTAAATGAGGTGGGCATTTCCTTGCCCCCTGAGCTGTTTTGCTCGTGGCCTTCTTTTGTTATAGCCAGGACTTGGTTAGAAGGATTGGAGATAAATCCCATCCAGGCTGCCCTTCCAAGCCTTTGGATGGCCACCCGGTGTGGGTGAATGTAATCACTTGTAAAGGGGAGGCGGCCCGTCCTGTCGCGGACACCGCAGCCTGTTCCCTCTTGTATGCACCAGCCCCTTGCTGCAGGGCCACCTTGGGAATCCCAGGCCCAATCCTGGGATGCTGAGTGTTCTGTGGCCTGTCAGGATGGGGTTTCATTTCTTGGTGTTTATGATGGTTTCCCTGGCAACCTTAACCTTATCCTCTTTCAGTGTAGGATCCTTTCTTGACGCTTTTATAAGGTGAAATTCCTTCATTTCGCTCTCACTGTGGATATCTTCCTTGTTGTAATATTTCTCTTGTCAAATTCTGGGCTGTTTCATATTTATGTGAAGTTGGTTGCTTAAGGAATTGACATCATTAAGTTCTTTTACATCATTCCGAGCACGGAATGGACACGTTGTCATTCAGTTGAGTGGCAGACTGTGGTGGTGAGGAAGAGAAGGTATAACTGGGAACTGGCGAACTGTACCCATATTCTAAATGAGAGACAAGTCTTTATGTAGTGGTTTTTACTGAAAGATAGTCTGAATGACTCACAATAATATCATAGAATCCAAGTCATTCTCTACTACATGACAGATTTCATATAACAGGGAAAGGAAAAAAGAATCCATCTGCCAACCCCAGAGACATTCCACGGATAACGTTCTAGATACAGGATGGCAATCAGATCTCCTAGAGAAAATACAAGAAGAAGACACCAGTTATGTTAAAACCCAGTCTCTCATCCCCCACCCGCTTTTTCTCTATTGTTATTGATCTACACTTTTAAATAGCATATAGATTGAAATTTGCTTTCTTGAGATTTAACTGTGAGCAAATAAGGATGAAAAAAGACCTGCTTCTGATAGAGCAAGCCCCAGCCAGCCCTGGCAAATGCCGCCTTTCCATGGCAGGTCACGAGCTTGCATCTGTGGTCTGATGTCGAATTCATCTCCAGAGATCAGGTTTCTCACTCTCTTTTACACTCGCCAATAAAAGAGGAACAACACTTTCTTCAAGCAAGTTGTTCCCTGCCCTGCTTAAAGCCTTGCTGTGGCAAGGACCAGAGCAAAACTTACTTGAAAACTTGTGCCTGCAACAAACAGTGTCACAATTTATCCCTTCATGGTCCTCTTGCTGATTTTATGAAGTGCCAGCCATTGCCCATGGTGTTGGACAGCTTTTCTTAATTGAGGTTATTTGTAGGAACAGTATTTTTCACTTGATGGGCAGAAGCTGTTCTCTCCGCCCGCCCTCGACCCCTTCCTCACCAGCCAGCTTGGTGGAGCCAGTTCTCTTTGGTCAAGACAGAAGACTATCAATCAGAAAGCGCCTTGGAGAGAAGTCATGGTTGAGTGATTTTTAGAGCTTCCTGTTTCGGCAGCAAGCATTAGAGACATAAACACTGGTCCAGCCAGCGGCTGCAACGCGCCTCTGGTTCTAATAAATCAGTTTTGTATTTTCTTTTTGTGCTGGTTGGCGAGGGGTGAGGGAGGGTGGAGAAGGCTGGTTATGGAAGAACATATTCTGTATTTCTGGAATTTTTTTCCAGTTTTAAAGAAAAATTGCTTGTTGAAACAGAGAGATGGTGTAATGTCTGATGACTGTTCTCTCTCTCTGCTGATGATTATAAAACAAGTTTAGATCAGCAAGGGATGTTTATGAGGAACGTGTACAGTCACCCCTCCGTATCCATGGGGAATGGGCTCCAGGACACCCCCTGCCTTGGATACCCAAATCTGCAGATGCTTGGGTCCCTTCTATCAGTGATGTAGTATTTGCGTACCACCTAGTCACATCCTCCCGTCCAGTTTGAGCTGTCTCTAGACTGCTGCTCATACCTAATTCAATGTCAATGCCCTGTAAATAGTTGTCATACTATGCTGTTTAGGAATAATGACAAGAAAAAGTCTGTACATGCTCAGTTTTGATCAGATCTATAGTTGGTTCAATGTATGGATGCAGAACCCGTGGATACAGAGGGCCGACTGTGCTGTCAATCTGCAGTGGTTGCCCACTTTTGAAGACTCTGTTGGACTCTTAGCCAGTTACGTGTGTGTGTATGTGTGTGTGTGTGTGTGTGTGTGTGTGACCATACATACTTCCATTGAGGGGTTTCTTGGACCAAGATGTCTTTGAGGACTAAATCCATGCTGATGACACTTCCCGAACTAAAGAATTAACAGAAATTAATAAGTGGGTCAAGTGGATTTAATGAGCTGTCTGTGAATTTGTTCAAAGGTGCCAGCATTGTCTGCTCCCCGTAAGGTGCAGGCCCGATGAACCCCACACGTGGTGCTTGTTTTTAGCAGCCTGCAATCGTGGATTTCAGTGGTGCCTTCCCTCAGTGCATAGTTCCAACGTGAGTTCCGCAGACAACAGAGATGCATTTTGGTCTGTGTCAGGAATGGAGTTAGAATGGCGCTCATTTAGCGCTGCTCTGATTTGGGAATCGAGCATCGCCTGACCTCTTTCAGCCTACGCTGGGCAGCAATATCCCATCCAGGAATTTCATTTGAGATTCAATTATCGAATTTTCTCCAATGAGGCCATCACGGAGTTGGAGACCCATAACTTGTGAGGGAATCCCAGTCACTTCCTAAGAGGCTCGTGCCATTCGGCTTCCTCAGTGAGGAAGCATTTATTCAGGAACCACTTAAACTGTATTTTTCCCAAAGATGGAAGTAATTTTCCTGTCTATTTTGCAACTTAGGCTACTGCCTGCTTTTACCATGAGATTTAAGACCATCATCATGGAGCACGGGCAGCCCACCACGGGCTGCCCAGTCTCACCACCTCCCACCACCTGACCCAGGGAGGCGCCTGGCCAGTGAGGGGGCCTGGCCGGCCTTCAACAAAGGTGTGTGAGGCTCAGCAACGAGGCTGGCTCTAGTGCCGTCAGCCACGGACGTGCTGGTAGATGATGAAGGAGGGGTGTTGGAGGTGATGTAAGAGGGATGTTGGAGGTGGAAACACCCCCGATGGCCCTGGCCATTGGTTGCAGGACTTCATGGCTGTGTTCCTTCTTCCTGTCTGAAACCATTGTGTGCTATTAGTTATCTACCTGTCCACCTATCTATCTGTCATTAATGAGACGCTGTCAACTTATGTCATCAATAAGGCTTCGTCTGCCTCTTTAACTAGTGTCTCCAGAACCTATGATAAATGTTTTGCTTTTGTCTTTCCATTTAAACTGAGGGGAGGTCACACTTATTATCTTATCTATGGCTCCGCTTATCAATTTTGAGAATACTCCTGTTGTTCAGTGGTTATCAGCTTCCGGTCTTTGACCCCTAGGGGACATTTGGTAATAACGGTGGACATTTTAGATTATCACACATGATTTTTTGAGGACTGCTTCTGGCTTCTAGTGGTAGAGGCCAGGGATCAGCTGAATATCCTACTCTGTGCAGGACAGCTTCCTTCAACAAAGTCCTAATCCAAAATATCAGTCATGCTGAAACTGAGGAGACCAATTGCAAAGCCCGGACCTAGCACCGCAGTATTCATAAGTTGTCATATCTCCCTTGCCCCTCCCCCCACCATGTCTGTCTCCCCACAAAGTTTATGAAAAACTTAATTTAAAAATTTACACGCAGCCGGCCACAGTGGTGCAAGCCTGTAATCCCAGCAGCTCAGGAGGCTGAGGCAGGAGGATTGCAAGTTCACAGTCAGCCTCCGCAACTTAGTGAAGCCTTAACCAAGATCCTTAGTGAGACCCTGTCTCTAAATAAAACATTAAAAGGGGATAGGGATGTGGCTCAGTGGTTAAAAGCTCCTGGGTTCAATCGCTGGTACTGAAAAAAAGAAAAAAAAATAAAAAACAAAAAAAAAAGAAAAGAAAAAAAAACAACGAAATTAAACCTTTTAAAAAGAAAACATCCCAGTGTTTAAAGTGCATAGAATTGTGCTGTCGCTGCACGTCGGTCAGACTCACCTGCCATCAGGGCTGTGTGGTAGCCAGAGGACAGAGAGGCTGCTAGTGGGGTGGTCTACACATCAGGGACAGCTCTTCCCGGAGCCTCCTGACTGCGGCCACTCCCTCGTGGAGGTCACATGGCGCAGGTCCAGTGCTCTCCCTGAGCATTTCCTTCTAGGGGCCACAGATCCACTGATTCACGAACGCCAATTAATGTGATGGGCACAGTTTACTAGAGTTAAAAAGCGCTAACAGTAAGGCCATGCTAATTGTCACCACAGAGCCCTAGACTCCAAAAGGGCTGTGTGTGCACCTGAAATAAAAATGGAGAGGAGAGGAGACCAAGGCCCAGCTCTCTGGCCTGTCTCTGAGCATAGCCAGGTCTGCTGCCCCTGGGCTGGGTTGGTGGCTTCCACAGGCAGAAGCATGGCTGGGTGCTTCTGGAGTGTCCCCCACGTCCCCCCATGAGTGGGTTAGCTGTCCCCTGGTTTTGCACTGAGATTCAGGGAGAGGTGGTTTGAAATCTCCAGGTCTAAGGAGACTCCTCCAGGTGTTCTTCTGTGGCAGGCTGCATTTCTGGACTAAGTGGCAGCTACTGTTCCGTTGTTTTTCTCTCCACCAGCTTGCTTTAGCTCCCCTGGGACGCTCTACTTCTCCTTCCTCGGAGCTCCCAGGTCTGGCGGAGAGCTCAGTTGTGTGTCAAGTCTTTAGTGATGGGAAGAGTTAGTCCAGGTGGGCATTCCCTTGGTGATGGAGCTGGGGACTGCCCGGAGCCCACAGGACACACAGGTTGCAGATGTGCCTGGAAGTGAAGGTCACTAGGGGGAGATCTCAGAACAGCTGTGGTGGGAGGGGCCTACTCCAGAGTCCCTGGACCCCCGCACGGTGGAACAGAAGCCAAGATGTGTCCAGAAAGCATCCGGAGGGGAACCAACAAGAATTGTCCACAAGCAAGAGACCCAGCTCATACCCAGAGAGGCTCTGTCCGAGTGGCATCCTCGGCCATGAGGTCTGGGCCTGGCACACCGTGGGGACACTCAGGACATATCTGCACACGGATGACTTCCGGGACTGTTTTGCCCCAGGCAGTAGAGCCCAGCGGTCCTACGTGGGCTTCACTGGATACTTCACCAAGAGGAAGCAGATTCAACTGAGCCACTGCTGACCCTTCAGCCTGGTGGCTCTGTGCTGGGCAGGGCTGTTCCCTGAGCTGTGGAATGTTGGTAGCCTCCCTGCCCTTGATCCAGTAACCAGTGCACCTCCTTCCCAGTTGTGACAACCAGAAAAGTCTGCAGGATTGCCAGATGTCCCCTGAGGAGCAGGGACGACTGCCCTTAGTTGAGAATTCCTGACTTAAAAGTACGTCACCAGGAACAAGTAGCTTGACCAGTCCAAGCCCGATTCTGCCTTGCTCCACGGGAGCCAGGAGGGCAGTGAGGACGGATTACCCCCAGGAAAGCATGGGCTCATTTCTTTG